AATCAGCCCGGCGGGAGCTTCTGGCGAGAGGATGCTCCTCCGGGACAGCCCAAGGGAGGATTTTTCCCTGCGAGATGCCTAGGCTGAAAATAAAGGGCCCCTCGATACTCCGAGGGTTCGTGCCTCGTAATCAGGCATTCCCTGGGAGGGTCTTTTGGGCCTTTCCCTCCTTGCCTTTCTCTTAAAAATTAAACCAGCAACTTTCCAGCTCTTGGAAATGCCTCTCTGGGAGGGCACAGAGTGGTTGTCTTGCTCTCCCACCTCAAACAGGACTGTTGCAGAGAGCCTCACCCTCTGTCATGGGATGCCTCACCCTCCAACCTGCACACCTGTGCTATCCATTTGGAAAATAAATGCCCATGTTTAATCTTCCCCCACCATTGCTCTGTTCTAAACCACTCATAAAGGAGATACTTCAGATAACCACTTTTTTCTTGCTCAGACACCGCACTTGCCCATGAGACACAAGCTGTGCCATGCCCTTTCCTGTTCCCCAGGCACATCGGAGCCTTGGCAACACAGCTCAGCCAAGCCAGGAACACAGGAGGGAAAGCGAACAAAATTGATTTCAAGCTCTGCTCAGTAATGGCAGGAAATCCTTTTTAGCCAGCAGGGAATCAGCAGCATGTGTGTTTAAAACAGCTCCAGTGCTGGATATGAAACACCAGTAAAGATTACATCTTCTTTCCCCCCAGGCATATTTGAGTTGATAGCAAGGGAGCCAGAGCTACAAAGACTTCTCAAATTTGGCTTCATAGGAGCACGGAGGGGAATGCTGCTGGCAGGATACAGTCACCCTTTCTCCCCATAGAGTACATTGTGCCCCAGCCCATCAAAATCCCTGGAGCCACCAAGAGACTCATGGTGTTGGGAGGCTGTGAGGAGGAGGAGGAGAGGAAGACAGATGGGGCGGTTAAGGAAGAGAAAGAGATGAAGGTAACCATGAGGAGGAAAGGTGGAGGTGGACATGGAGCAGGATGAGCAGGTGAGTGTGAGGAAAGCCCAAGCAACAAGTGTTTGGCTCTGGCAGCAAGGCCAGTGCTTCAGGAGAGTGAGTGCTTGGTGTGCTGGGACGAGTGGGCACTGGTGTGGGATGCAAAGTAAACAGAAGCCTGCACTCCGCAGCTTGAAGGGAGGCCACCAGCCTCCAACCTGCCCCTTCCTAGTGGTGGCAGGGGATTGCACCCCCCAGAGTCACCCCCTGCCTGCAGCATGCCCACCCCTGGCAGTGGCCGGGCAGGAGCAGATTCAAAAGGAACCCATGTGAGTGCTGGACCAGCCCACCCTGCCTCAGAGTGTGCAGGTCCAGGGGGGAGGGACAACCTTTGCCTGCATCCCTGTGAAGAAAAGTGCTGTACACCTCTACAAAGCTTTTTGTGTCCCCAGTTGGGGAAAATGTTGCTATGCTGGGGACTTTGCACTGTCCTGGACATCCAAATTTTATTGCCAAAGGCTGCAGGATTGTGGTGGCAAGGTTTATACCTCTGTTGGGTGCCACTGTGGTGGTGAGTGGGGTGAGTGAGCCCCTCTGCACCAGCCCTGACCCACTCACCCATGCTGGGACGTGGAAGAGTTGGGTATCACAGCAGGGCATGGCTCACTGCTCCTGGGGTCCTGACCTCTCCCTCAGCAGGGACCACAACTTCTTCCTGGAGATAAAAGAGGTGGCAAAAATAGATTTTCACAAGGGGTGATGACTCAGACTGGTGAGTAGCCAGAGCAACCTCCCTGTCCCATGAATAACAATTCAGAGGTGCTGGATGGGCAAGGACACAGTGCTGCTGAAACCCTGCCCTCCAGCAGGTGACAGGCTGGAGGAAGGCAATGCCAGGGTTTGGGGAGCCCTGTTTTGAACGGGATTGGTGACAGAAGCTGGATTTAACAAGAACTCATGGATTCAGCCCAGAGGGACGGGGAGCGAGCTACTAAGGGATTTTGTTCCATCTAATTAAGTCTGGGGCTGGCAGCTGTTCCCAAGGAGTGGCTGCTCACAGGGCAAGGCAGAACAAGGGGCTGCCCCGCTGTGGCCCCTGTGTGAGAGGGAGATTTAGGATGGACTGCTGGCATGAGGGAAAGGACACCTGCTGCTCTGAGGCTGCCCCCATCCAGCCCTCCTTGCAGGAACAAGGCAGCCCCACCCTAGTCAGAGTGAAATCCTGGCCCATTCAGGATGCTCAGGTCAGCAAAGTGGTCGGTGTGAGGAAAGGGGAGAGCCTTTTCCCAGGGGAGGGTAACCTCATGCCTCTGGGGTGGGGGATTCCCTCCCAGGGCCACCCTAATGACATAAAAGGGCTCTTCTGCTGCTGCCACTCCATGGACCCAGCTCCAGTCTCCTTAGACCAGGAGCCTTCAGTCCATCTTGCCTGGGGATCTGCAGACTCTATATAGTATGGAAATCCTGATTTCTCTCATTTCCAGGTCTCTCAGCCCTGCAGATGTGACTCACATCACCTTGCCCTGGTTACATGGCCTGCCTGCACCAGCACATTGGTGCAGGACCTCGTTGGATGTGTCCAGCCAGCTGGAATCTGCCTCTCCAGCCTTCGTCCTACTCCAGAAAGTATGGGTCAGAGGTGGCTTCCTTGGCTGTTCTCGAATCGAGCCAAAAGCCCACTGGCCTCTGAACAAAACCAGGGTGCAGGGACAAGGGAGGGAGTGCCAGCCTCATGGGCGTTTTGGCACGCGGCAGAGGCAAGGTGAGCCTGGTGTTGTGACACAAATAGCACACCTTGGCTGTGCTTGGCTTTGGTGGGCAGTGTTCCCTGCTCCCAGCCAGCCAAGACACGTCGCCACTGGAGAGGGCTCTCCTGTAGCTTTCCAAACCTCAGACACTGCAGAAGTATCTAAAGCAACTCTCCCCCAGGAAGCCCTAGCTCAGCCCTATCTCTTCCATCCAGGGGAGAGACCAGATCACACCATTCCAAAGGGCAGCCCTGAGGGTATTTGGGTTGGAGCCAGCTGGTGACACTCCACAGCTGAGCCCAAACACTGCCCTTTTCCAGCACCCAGCAGTGCTACCTTCCTGCTCTTCTCTCCCACCTGCCTGAAAAGCATCGCTGCCCAAAGCCTGTCGCATCTCCACCACCAGCACTTCCCCACCTGAAGGTTTGCTGTAGCCTTTTTATGCAGCTGCTGTGGGCTGGAGGGTAACGGAGTGAAGGTGGGGCTTCAATTACACACAGGGAGAGTATTTTTCACCATATTTCCTAAATTGGCATGTCATACATTGCGCTTAAGCACACAGTCTGGAGTTTGGAAAAGCCTAAAGCAATTTTTAGCCACCAAGTGCTAGGTTGTACTCAGATCTAATTTCATTTTTAAAAGAAAAGGATGTGGGACACCCATGGGAGATTCTCCAAAGCATTTTGGAAGCAGGGCTTGCTACAGCTTGGCCTTCGTGAAGTGCTCCCTCTTCCCTTAACATTCCAGAATTCTCTTGACTTTTGTCAGAGCTTCTCTGTGTCCAGAAACATCCAAAGACTCAGACCAGGACTGATGCACAGTGCCCAGGAAGGTACCAAGTGTGTTTGTGTTTGACTGCAGAGCTGATCCCTGCTGGCTCGGGGCAGCTGTTTCAGCACCCCTGCTCCCCACTCCACAGGTCACAGCCCACCCAAGGAAACAATAACAGAGTTTGGAATGTAACAATTTATTGGGGTTAATTTTTTGTTTTAATTTTTAACTCCCCATTTCTGGCATTGATACAATATTCAAGAGCAGCAGAAAGAACAAAATGTACAAGAATACAAGAGTAATTAGCACAACCCCCACCCCCAAACCTGGAGCAAACCATTTTCTTGTGGGAAGCACCAAGGGAAGTGGTGATTCAATCACCCCTCCAATGGCTATGCCTCCCACCCATCCACTCTAGACAGAGTTTAGCCAGCTGGGAACTGGATTAAAAAACAAAACAAAACAAAACAAACACTATATTTAAAATGAAAATTGCAAGACAAAAAAAATAATATATAGAT